TATATATGGTGTCAGGGGGATATTAGGCTTACCAAGGGGATCACTTCGTAAGTTAATAAATGTCTAACCACTATGCTGTATATCTGAAACTAATATAATATTGAATGTTGACTGCAATTAAAAAATAAAAATAAAAAAATAAAATGAATAAGTAATAATAATAAGGAGAGGCACATTAGCAATTACATCAATACAATAATAATGTCAGGTATCCTCTTAAGCACCTTAGATGCATAACTTCCACGCAGTCCTCAAAATGGCCATGAGAAAATATTAACTTCATTTTACAATGTGGTAAATAAGGCTCAAAGGATTTAAGTAAGTTTCTAGAATCTTGCAGCTAGTAAATGCTGAATCTAAAATTCAAACCCATGTCAGTTTGATTCCAAGGATTGAATTAGAATTTACACTATAATCTATAGTCTTTAAAAATAATCAACATCCCTGTATCTAGGCACAATACATCTTTCAAAAACAACTTTATAAAAATTTAATTTACATACCATACGATTTACTCATTTAAATTATGCGATTAAATAGTATTTAGTGTATTTATGTGGTTATAAAACCATCATGACAATCTAATTTTAGAATATTTTGTCCTCCCAAAAGAAACTCTATATCCATTTATAATTTCAAGCATATTTTAATCCTACTCTGACAAACTACTGGGTTATAATTGACTCTGAAAACAAATAACTTTGTAATATTTATGATAGAGGTTAGGAAGAATGGTATTAAGATGAATATTTTCTATGCCTTTAATATTCTACTGTCATCTGTGCTGGGTATGCATCATAGAACTCTTATTACTCTCCCAGAGAGAGAATAATCATTAAAGAATAAATCCATATTCTAATACTTTTATAGACAACTGCTAGTATCACACATACTGCTGGGTCGACAATGCTGATCTCGAGTAATATCTTAGAAGGAGAGTGAGAAATGCTTTTATGCCATTTCAAATCATGGTCCATGTTCTCTCAGTACAAGGGTTTAACTAACTCTCTTAGCTTACTGAAGGACAACAGAATAGCAAAGAAAATGTTTTAGTTATGAAAATTTAGGTCAGGAACAGACTAGAGGGGATAGATTAAACAATCCATGCAAAACAAAGAGAATTCCATGAAAAAGAAGACCTTTAGGCAACTGAGGAGCAAGTCATGGGTACTAAGCATATGAAAAAGTGAAAAGAAATAAAGGAGAATTCAGAGACACAAAGGGACATTTTTATGACCTGACTAATTGTCCTTAGAGCTGGCACTGGATAGAACTTTATCAAGAGAAACAAACTTCCCTTCACTCTACTGATAAATGTGGTATACAAACCATATTTTTAAAATTAGTTTTGAGTGTACAGTACATTGATTAGACATTTATAAAGTTTATAAAACAATCCCCCTAATTGCTCCTTCTCTCCTCTGCACCGACCACGTTTTTATAAACACAGATCTAGAGGTCTCACCTAGGGAAAGTGACATTCTAATTTTTCCACTATCTCCACTTAACTGGGGAAACAAGATTTATACTGCAAAGCAATTAAATAAGTACTATTTATTGCTTATCACATACTTGTAAACAGCAAAAGCAAACACATAGTAGACTAGTACCTGTAAGGAAATTGCTTATTCATCAAATGGAGTCTGTTTACTCAATGTTATTACAGCCAACTCTGCTTAGTTTATAAATACAATTTTGGGGATAATATTGATAAATTTGCTTCAATTATTTCCACTGTAACATCATATGCTCCTCAAACCTGTAAAGTACAGAGAATCTTCGTAAAGAAACTTAGGTCTACAGTTATAAATTACTGGCAAGAGACCATTAAAAGAAAAGAGAGTTACAAGTTCTTTATTAACTAAAATTAATAATATCTACCATTGTAATTTATCATCATTGCAAAAACATATTGCATTCCAATCAGATAGAGTATAAAAAGTTGTAAGTTCCACAAGTCACAGAGGTAATCAAAATTAGAGTAGTAAACTAGTCAGTAGTATGAATCACTGAGCTCCAAATTCTATGTAGAGGTTTTATAGCAAAAGTATATGATATAATGTTCACTTTGGCAGAACATATACTAAAATTGGAATGATACAGAGAAGATTAGTATTATCTGTGGCCCATACACAAGGATGACACACAAATTCATGAAACGTTCCATAATTTGGGGCCTAAAAGACAAATTAAACCAGCTGAATTTAATAGATATTTTCAGGGCATTTCACCTCAAAGTAGAAAAATTTATATTCTCTTCAAGTGCACATGGAACATTTTCCAAGATAAACCACATGTTAGGACACAAAACAAGTCTCAATAAATTTAGGAAGATTGAAATCATATCAACTGCCTTCTCCGATCACAATGGTATGAAACTAGAAATCAACTATAAGAAAAAAACTGGAAAATACACAAAAACATGGAGGCTAAATAACAAACTATTAAACAGTGAATCGATCAACAATGAGATCAAGGAAGAAATAAAAAGATACTGAGACACAAATGAAAATGAAAACACAATGACTCAAAATCTGTGGGATATAGTGAAAGGAGCAATAAAAGGGAAATTCTTAGCAATACAGGCCTACCTCAAAAAAAAAAAAAAAAAAAAAAAAAAGAAAAAATATAAAAAAAAAGTTTAACC